AAATGCCCTTTGCCTCCCAGCTCTTTCCTCTATTTCCCTTAATTCTCCTCCTGTCCCACTATCATGCTCAGTCCCCTCCAGGATTTCAGCACTTCCTTTGTTACATTCCCCTTGATCATGTTTCATTTTATTACTGATTGAAGAAATATTTGTTGCGTGACTTGGATGGGCCAGGCTCTCTACTGGTGCTGGATGCATGAAGATTAACAAGATGTGTAGCATGCTTTTAATTTTATTTAGAACATTAGGGTTTATTATGAAATTGAAGCTATAGCACTCCCTTTAGTAATCACTGTTTGGGTAAGATGCCTCAGTCAATTATACATTTCTGGGTTTAGGCTCTACTTCAATTGAAAGAACATCAATTGGAAAGAAGTATAAGTGTTTTTAAAGTCACTTAAAAGTTCCAAGGTCTCTAATACGTTTTTATTTCCATTTTATGTTCTTATTTTATTAATGTGTCATTCTCTGTGTTCTTTTTGAAGAGTCGTAATCCTTTTTGCATGACTTTATCATAATCATAAATATAATAAAATCTTGGTCAGCCAGCTGTTTAGTAGTCAAAATTCTTATAAAATGGACTGTATTTTTGAAAGGCAGAAAAAGCAGACAGCTTAGAAATGATCCAGGTTTACATGAGAGAGAGACCTTTCCTAAGTCCTTAACATTTTTTTAAGTCATTAACATTTTTAAGAGTACTAAGAAAGCCATCAATTTTCTCTTAGACCAATGTGCATATAAGCATGATTTTGCAAGTGATTTACCAGATTTTGTCGCCCCTCCCAAGGAGTAGTGGTGCAGTGTACTAAGCATTTAACTGCCAACTACAAAGGCTGATGGTTCAAGCCCCTTACCTGCACTACAGGAAAAGGACAAAGCTGTCTGCTTCAGTAAAGATTTAATCTCGAAAGCTCCAAGGAGTCGTCGTACTTTGTCGTATAGATTTGCTATAGGGTGGCAAGCAGTCAATATCAACTTTGGGCAGTGGCTTGGGTTTGGACTTTATGGGTCTCCCCACATCTATCCAGAGACCTTGTGCTGAGAGCCGCAATTTTTTAGATTAAAATGCAAACAAAGCAGCCTCTTGTGGAAAATTCTGTTCTTCCGTGGTCAGGCTGATTAATTAGGTAACAGCTTCAGAACATACGCTTACCCAGGGCTGAGAGACAAGGCAGTGCTCCTCTTGGTTACTGACTCTTAGGGGAGGGACTGGAATTCTCACCTCCAGAACAAAGAACTTCAGTTGCTGCTGCGCAACACTATAACTTGATACTTCCACAAAATTTTCAGAGGCAAAAACAGCCCTCAAACTACAGATAGGTAAAAGGACTCCCTTGTATAACGAGGAGTTACCAAATATTTAAGAAAATCATACCAGAATGACTAAATACTTGAGAAAGTCGAGTTCTTAGGGTGAACAAGTGATTTTAAAATAAAACAGTAACGGTCTAATTTCAGATGAATGAGAGCACAGCTCATTCATGAAACGGTGGGC